CCAGGTGTGTCTGCGTTCTTGAGTTCGTAAGAACTTCCCTTCGTAGGGATCTTCTCTTCCTCTTCGAAGAGCTTGCCGACGAGATTTTCTTCTACTTCTGCCATGTCGACGGTCGAGAAGGAAATTCCGGCGGTGATGGACCGTCGTTTGTCTAGATTAGGGTTTTCCTAGGAATCTTGCTCTGATACCATGTAGAAAATAATAAGAGGGAAAATATTGTGTATATTCAATTGTTCTGTTTAGTTACAAGGGGTTTCTCCTTTATTTATAGGAGAGGATGATTCCAAAATAGACAAGGAATACAAATCCTACAAGGAAACAAATCATAATCAAACTAGGAAACAAATAAATCAAGATCAATCCTAATTAGAATGGGATTCGGTCATCAAAGGATTTGGACTTCTCAAGTTCGGATTTCTCGGAATTCGGACCTCTCGGAATTCGGATCTCTCGGAATCTGGATTCCTCGGAAGTCGGACTTCTCCGGATCCGGACTTCTCAGTTCCAATATTAACTAATACTAATACGGAATACATATCACAAAAATATCTCATTTAAATATTTTTTCGATAATATTGAGCTTGACTAAATAAAATCCCCGGCCTCTAATTCTATATAAATTTTAATATAAATTTTAAATGCCCAGAGTATGCAAATGTTTTTCAATTTAATACCACTACGGCACTACCCAAGTAAATAAAATTGAACTTAAGTCATTAATCATAAATGAAATGCATTCCATAATGGTAATGACTTAAAAATAATACTCCATCCGTCCCTAAATATTCACAACATTTGCTTTTTCAGCAGTCACGAGAATTTTTCTTTATTTCGGCTTTTTCATTGGTTATTTGATAAAATAAAATATTTTGACACCTCTTATTTCGAAAAACTTTTCATGTAGTTTTTTTATATGTAAATTTTATTTTTTATTTCTATCCCAATATGTAAATAAAATTATTTGAAAAAATTTGATATTTTGCCTCGGGAATACAAATGTGGCAAATAATTTAGGACGGAGGGAGTACTTTCTCTATTTATAAAAAAGAAATCACAAATTGTTCACAATCACAAATGAAATGCATGATGTGATGGTAATATGGAGTATATGACTTTGGTACATTTTCACACTACAACGAGAAAAACCCATTACAAATCCTCAATTATTATCATTGCAAACGTATTATTTAAGCCAATAATTAAAATAGAAACAAATTACGGAGTAATTAATATTATGACGTTGTTTGGAAACAACGTTTTCGATTAGCGTTACCGTTTTGGATAAAATTTGAATGGTATAGGTTTATTCTGATAACGCTAACGTAAGCTACCCTCGAATAGCCTTTTCAAAACGCTAACGCTAATCTCTAATGCTGATGCCAAACGGGACGTATATCCTCATGAAGAAGATAATTTATCCAGGGACAATGAAGTGGCAAAATTAGTAGTAGAAAGTCCACCATCAATCACAAGATTAGTCCCACTAATATACTTGGAGTCGTCGCTCCCAAGAAACACCGCCGTCGCCGCCACGTCCTCCGCCTCCAGCACCACCCCTTTCAAGTTCGCCATTTCGCACATAAACCCCTCCACTCTATCCTTATCCCCGCCGAACCTGTCGATCGTCAACGGCGTCGCCAGATAGGTAGGGGAAATGCAGTTCACTCTCACCCCGTGCTTCCCCATCTCCACCCCCAGGTTCTTCGCCAATCCCACCACCGCGTGCTTCGACGCCATGTAGGCGTACGGGAGGTACCTGTTAGCGGATGTAATTAGGGTTTACTTGATGGGTTCAGTATTGTTGAGCTTCTTATTAGGTTACAGTAGTACTCCCTCCGTCCATTAATTTACTTTTCACTTTTCTATTTTGTCCCCTCATTAATTTTTGGGAAATTTACTTAAATAGCACTAAAACATAATGACTTTTTCTAAATAGCACCACATGTGTTTTTCTTCCCAATGTAGCACTTTTAGTCATTATGCATTAGTCATTATTCAAGTAAATATTCGCTATCACTGGACATTATGGACATTATTAAGTGATATTGAGGAAATAAAACAATTTAAATACTATTTAGGGAAATGACTTAAGTTTTAGTGCTATTTACTGTAAATATTTCTTAATTTTTTCTCGTTCTTTATATTTTGGTAAGTTTATCTAAACTACACTTAGATGTGATGTTGTATTTAATTTAAGATTATCTTCAACTACCTTCGTCCTAAAAAAGTCTTTATGTTTTGACTTTTTGTCAAAATGTACGTGACACTCTGTGAACACAAATTATGTAAAAGATATATATTTTTATTATAATGTAAATTCAATATAATTGATTCAACTTAGGATATACTTTTAGTATATGATGTTTTTGTAACACTTTTTTATTTAAACTATATTTAATTTGTGATCAAAGAATGTGACTCTTCAACAAAAAGGACAAAACATGAAGATTTTTATGAGACGGAAGGAGTGCTAATACCTGAGGGAAAAAGAAGAAAGTCAAAACAAAATTTATTTTTCTTTAAATAAGTGGAAGTAAGTATTTGGACGAAGGGAGTAGCTATTATGAATAGCGGGTTTATTTTTAATGACATCAAGTTTAATTATCGTAAAATTTCTACAATACCCGCTTGACACGGTGGCGGCACTGGCGGTGAACACGATGCTCCCCTTCTTCGCCGGGGCCATCACCCTCGCGGCGTGCTTCGCGCACCAGAAAGCGCCGAAGACGTTCACGTCGAACACGCCGCGGAGGTCGTCCCGATCGATGTCGTGGATGGACACTTCGTGGTTCCCTCCAATGCCGGCATTGCTGAACATCACGTCCAGCTTGCCGTGCATTGAGACGGCGAGGTCCACTGCAGCCTGAACATCGGAATCGATGGTCACGTCGCAGTGGACATAGCAGCAGATGGCGGGGTCGCCCCCGCTTATCTCGGTGGATATTGAATAGCCTAGTGTGTCTTGGATGTCAGCGATGATGACTCTGGCACCATGTTTAACGAATAGTCTCGCCGTAATTTCGCCAATGCCACTGGCGCCGCCGGTGATCAATGCCACTTTACCATCTAGCCGCCTGTGAATTGAATTATTTTTAGCAATTAAAATTTATAAACTTGATCATAAATTAAAAAAAAACATTGGGTCTTTTACAACAACACCGCGCGGCTCAAAGAAACATAAAATTTATAAACTTGATCATAAATTAAAAAAAAAACATTGGGTCTTTTACAACAACACCGCGCGGCTCAAAGAAACATTTAAACTGCATGCCCTAATTTTATCTAAAGAGTTAGTAATGTCATAGTAAAAAACAAACCGTTCGATTACAAAATTCACAAACCTACTTTTTTTTTACATTTCAATATAAATAATATTCCCTCCGTCCCGGATTATTCGTCCAGTTTTGACTTTTGAAACTGTTCATCTAAGCACTTTGACTCATCAAATTCTCTCAATGTGTAAGCCTAAATATAGTCATGTGTGATCTTGTTTGATTTGTCTTAACATATAGATTATTAATATATAATTTCTATAATTTTTTAATATACAAATTACAAGATAAAATGGATTAAAGAAGTGTCTTGGATGGTGTGTAAAAATGAAAGTGGATAAATACTCTGAGACGGAAGTAGTATGCATTTAAGTAATGAAAGATATTTTTAAGTTAAAATCCACAAAAGGTAAATTCGTGAACTATTTATTTGTGATTCTAGCCATTCCAATATCTAAAAACTACAAAGAGCTGAAACAAGTTAATTAAACTGCCTTAATTAATTATATTACCTGTTGGCGACTGGTGCAACCGAGGAAGCACTACTGCTGCTTGCCATAATCACACAAAGAAGTGTTTAATTATATAAAGAGACTATGGGGCTGGGTACTATACGTATTAATTGATTAATTAATTTATAGAAATGCTTTTGATTATTTGCCTCAATTAATATATATATGTGTTTAATCTGTAATTGATCCAAATGGAGTGCGATCCACCACTCTATAAATATACATACAAACCCACAAGCTGACAAGCTAAGCTGAGCTAAGTGGGCCCCCCACTTAAGGTTAGGTCGTTCGCTGCTTCATTATTGACTTATTGTTCTAGTACTAAGGACAATTATTTTGATGTTCAAAAAAAGGAAAATTATCACCTTTAGTGTACATATATGTACACACACATATACTCTCCGTTCTTACATAGATTATACGTAGTAATTTTTTTCTCTCTCTCTTCTCGATAACTTTTGTTTGTTTACGCGATTTAATTAAATACTCCCTCCGTCCCTAAATAAACTTCCCTTTTCCTTTTTTCTTTGTCCCCAAATAAACTTTTCTTTTCCCTTAAAAACCTCCTTTTATCCCTTACTTTTTCATACCCTACCTACCACATCATACCTTTTTACTAATAATCTACATATCATATCTTACTTTTACACATTACATCAAGAGTATTTTTGGAAAGTCAACACAAAAATATCCCTCCCTTAAATCCTCAAAAAGTCAAAAAGGGAAGTTTATTTAGGGACGGAGAGAGTATTTGATAATATAAAATATTTTTGTCACTTCTTGTTTTGTAGAACTTTTGACGTAGTTTTTTAATATGTAATTTTTATATCTTATTGATATACCAATTTGTAAATAAAATGATTTCAAAAAGTAGGAAATTTTACTTCGTAACCTGCAATTTGTAATCAAATTGGGGACGGAGGGAGTATATAGTTTTGATATTAAACTAAAATGTAAATTTAATATAATTAAATTATTCTGATACGTAGTTTTGATATCTAAAGTTTTATGTTAAATATTTACAAAAAATTATATTTACTAATGGTTAAAATATAATGTAACGAAAACAAATCAAACTATGCCTCAACTTTCGGTTTGATGCAAAAGGTGTTTTCCAATAATGATTGATTTTTTTATAGATGACGATGATATGGGTGGTGCTATGTGTTAGAGTGTCATCCCACGTCGGAAGTCCAAGAGTAAAATAATTGGTATATAAATTCTTGAGTTTAATTAACTAATTGATTAGATTCAATCTTTTAATTTGGTTCAGCCCAAGTGTTTTACTGCCAATTCAGTTGTCTTTATTTCATCCTAAATTCTATCATGGTATCGGAGCAGGTTTTGGCACACCTCGTTTGTCAAGATGTTTTTCTAGACGTTCATTCATAGCAGCTCATTAGTCTTTAGCCCAGTTTTCCACAAATTTGACAGATAAGTGATCCATCACGTGACGGGCCACACCCTCGACCGTTAATATGGTTTTGTTGGAATCGTCCTCCACCATTGGGGCGCCCTCCACCGCCATTACCTTGTCTTCCTCCTCGGTTGCCAGAGAACCGACCACAACCCCAGCCTCGTCGATTATCCAATCCTCTTGGCCAGGGGCAACATAGAGGTCCGTATGCACAACGTTAGACGAACTCAGATGCAATTTGTGCTCAAGTTGAATATTAAGTTCTTCATATAGTAAGGAAGAGGAAACCTAGTTAAAGGTAAGATTGGAAATATTTGTCCAGATATTTTTCTTAATCGAGGCATGTTCGGAGGTCAAGCCACACAAAACACTGAGAATAATATCTTGTCCTAGAACCAGCTCACGTGCAAGGGCGAGGGCAGTAACAATATGTAGTGCAACATCAAGGTATGCTTACATGGTAGATTGATCTTTTATGAGGTTGTGAAGCAGTTCTTTGAGTTGAAAAATATGTGATACGGGTCAGGATATTGAGGATGGGGCAGTGGCGGAGCATGTAGATGCGGAGGAACATGAGGAGATGCCGCGAAGGTCGGGCTGGGTGTCCAAACCACCGGCCCGGTACAAGGATTATGTTTAAATAATATTTCTTATTTATGATTTATTGTATTTTAGATTATCATTAGGTGAGCGTATTATAAGCTCCTTCGAGGGTTTCTTTTCGATTCTTTACCTCGATGCTTTTCTTGAACCGACAGATTAGATAATCTAGTTAATTAGGTTTAGGGTTTCATCTCGTAGCCTTATATATTGAGATGTAAGTTCTTTAAGGAGAATAATTAAGAAGAACTTAACCCTAATTCTCTTCTCACCCTACGGCCGCAAGGTCTTCTTCTCTGTGTCCTTCCTATCTCCTTCTTCTCCTTACTATTACTCTTCAAGGTGCTTAATTAACAATATAGGTGCGGGATAAAAAATTATACCATTGGTGTAGGAGACTCCAAATTTTAGCAGCGGTAGAGTAGAGATGGACCAGATTCCAGATTTTCGATGAGAGGAGGGCAAGGAGAGATGCACGAAGCTGGGCATCAATGATAACCCATTGTTCGTACGCCGGATTTGCTTTCATAATCGGTTGTTTATCAGCAGTAGCCAGTGCTTTTTCTCCAGAATTAATGTCGGTGGTGGTTTTTCAGTACCATCAACATACCCAAGTAAGCGATGTGCCTCAAGTAGGACTAGGAAACAATAATAGAAGCTGACTAAAAATATTAAGTCTATCATAATTAGTATTGACTAATCAATTGTCTAACAAATGCTACATTTGAAAATGAAAATTCTTTAAATTCAAAATCAATATTATATTGATTCAAAATGTATGGCTGTGTTCCGTTCTTCTAGTCTGATCTTATTGGATCTAATCTAATATAAATTTAATTTAAATTAAAACTATCCAATTAGATATAATCTAATATAAATTTAATTTAAATTAAAATAAAAAATATTATTATAGTAGTTATAATAATAATAATAGAAATATTAATAATTATAGTAGTAATAATAATATAAATAATAATAATAACAGTAATAGTAATAATAATAATAACTATAATAATAGTAATAGTAATAATAATAGAAATAATAATAATAGTAATAATAATGACTATAACAATAGTTATAATAATTATAATCATAATCATAATATTAATAGTTACGGAGTATAATAATAACAAAAATTGTAATAATAATAATAGTAATAGTAATAACAATAGTAATTATAATGATAAGCGTAATAGGAATAATACTAGTAATAATAATAGAAATAGTAATTATAATCAAAATAATAAAAATAATAGTAATAATAGTAATAGTAATAATGGTAATTTTGTTTAGATGTGATCTAATCTAATTTGAATAAGAAATAATAATATACCGAAAAATTAAATTAAATACGGAGTAGAACACAGCGTGTATTGGCTTGGTCTCCAGTCTCCACCTACCGACCATAGTACCATGTAAGGTATACCGGAACCATTCTGATTTGACTTGTCCCTTTAACCCAAAGTCAGGCCTACCCAAACAGTGCGGGCCGACCCGTCACCAACCAGAAGTTTCTGCAACAGGAGATGTAAACTTCGTACCGCGCAAAGAGAGAGACAGAGACAGAGCCACGTCCGCACCTCGGTGACCCGGATTGGCTCAAAGAATGTCGGCGTCGGAGTTACCTGACGAGATGTGGAGGCGAATTGTGGAAATCGGAATCGAGCTTTTGAATTTGACCTACAAAGACGTCTGCTGCCTCTCGATTACTTGCCGGCGTCTCAACAGAATCACCGGCGAGGATTCTCTCTGGAATACTCTGCTCTCCTCTGATTTTCCTCGGCCTCAGCACGGCGATCCTTCGTGCTCGTCTTTCACCTCCAGTAATAAGAAATCCCTCTACAAAATAAGGTTCAGATTACATTCTTTACATCGTTTATGTACTTAGTGCTATATGAATAATAAATTTAAGTAACGTGTTTTTAGAATATATTTGTGTAACCTTTCCAACTCTTCAACCACAGACTTGAGTTTGGTTGAGATGGGTTGTTAACAGGGGCCTGTTGACTGTCACTGCCACACAAATTTCATAAAAACAATGAGTACATTTTATAATTGGTCTTTTACAACATGGTTTTCTATATTTAGTCCTATTATCACATATTACGCGGTCCTTTTTTATGGGTATCTTTTTACGGATAGTCCTTTTTGACCTTCTATCATCTATCATCTTTGTGTTAAATTGAGGGTTTAAAGTATAATTTCACATTGAGTTCTGTTGTCGGCTTGACGGACAACACGACAATAGGACTATGGCTGTGGACTTTGATTTTGAACCGAGACAACATCTATACATTATGCTTGCAGTAGACCGTGATTCCATTTGACAATCGACGCATTATTGTAAAATTACACTTTTAGCCATCAATTTCACGCTAACACCAACATAATGATCAATTATAAAATTTACTCTAAAAATAATGTTCAGATGCAATGCTCGAGTGAAAAATGTTTGCACGTGTGGGGCATGTTAGTTTTTAGTATATGGAGTATAAATTTTTTTGGGCTTTAACCAAAAGCTTTGAACTTTTTGGTTGTTTTGATTTCATAACACATATTCAATTAAAATTGTATCCAATGCGCGATTCAGATATGAAAGGGATAGGGAGCGGAGGCGCATGTCTTACAGAAGGATTGTTTTGAGAATTGAGAGTGATGTCGCTCAGCACGTGAGGAAGATTCAGGAGTTGGAACGTCAATGTTCGGAGGAGGAAAGGAAGATGAAAAATGCTGTTGTTGAGCTGACGAGTTTGCAGAGGGTGAGGTATGTGCATCATGTTTATGTGTGTTTTTTGTTGATCCTCAAAACACAAAAAAAGAACATTTTTTGTTGAAAGAACTGTGGAATTTGCTCATTTATGATTCATTGTTTTTATATAGCTATTGTTTTACTTGTTTCAGGCAAGCATCTGTTGCACTAAATGTGTGGCAGCCAGATGTTATTCGAGGCAGACAAAGAGAGATGGTTGAGCAGTGCAATGTACCTGTTGATGTTCGAGTCAATTCAGTTGAAATGGAGCTCAAGATTTGCAGGCAACAAATTGAGGGACTTAAAAAGGCCCTGGTAAGTAGTAATTATCAGTTAATGTGAACTTTAATCTTGTGATTATTTCTTTGTTTTATGTAGCACATCTTTAATCATACTCTCCCATGTAAATGGAAAAAATCATATAAGAGAAAAATTGATTAGCACATGTGGCAGTTATAAGATTGGGGTTGAAATTTGTAAAAAAGTGCATACTGCATAGCATTCCTCAAATATGAAAAAGGGGATTGATTACTTGACCCTCCTCTGGATCTTTGCAGAGTGTTGAAAAGCGAAGGCTAGAAGCTGCAAAAGAAAAGTTGCATTCAGTGAAATATCACCCATTGCAAGAGAATAACCTGCCACCACTCAACCCACCCGGCACTCGACGCAAAAAGTTGAAATCTTCGTAAAATGTAAACTTTACATTCTTCAGTTTTCATATCAGATAATTTCACACACATTTCTTCATTGCAAAACTTTTTAAGACACATTATTTGGCTATTTTTCGGGAAGTGCAGCAAATTTAATGAACTAAATCGAAATGGCACATCAAACCTCCATTGCTTCTTACTTTTTATGATGTTTTGGGAAGTAAATGCAGCAATGCATCAAGGGTCTAACGGAAACAAACTTTCTAGGGTAAGACTGCTTACATCTTGACCCCAGCATTGATACTGTGATATCGTGATTAGTACACTATCCTTCTGTTGCTAGTTGGGAAAGGTTCAGAATAAACAAAATCTATTAACAATTGAAAAGGATAACTACTTTTTTCTTGGTTATGATTTAATGAATTCCCAACTACTTGCAGGTTATATAGAAGAATACAAGAATATGAAAAGGATATTGCTCGGCTCATGCATTGTTGTCCTTGCAGAATTGTGGAGATTGTACTACCAGCTTGTAAGTAGTTAAACATTTAAATATCTTTTAAGTTTATTTTAAAGGCTACTTAGGATTTTGATTAGTGTGTGAATTAGGCTACTATACCACCCTCCAGATGCCATAATTGAACCCAAAAGAGTTTCAAATTTGGTTGGTAAGACTTGACAATTCAAATTCAGTTTGAAACTATTTTAAATAGATTCAATTTCTTCAAGTCTTTTTTTCTTTGTCTTTTCAAAATACCTTTGCATCCTAAATTACAATGAATCAAAATAATCTTAAATAGGAAAATACTCAAAATATCAATATATAATTGAACTAACTAAACAAAACAGAATTACATACTCAAATAATTGGGATATCAACGAGTTCAAAATTCTTAAAATGTACACTATAATTAGGCTGCGTTCTATTCAACCTAATTTGTTTGCTTATTACTTATTCTTATTAGAATCATATCTATTCAGATCAAAATTTAGATCCATCCAGATGAGATCCATTAAAACCATATAAGTTTAGAAAAATGTTAAAATTAATGTCAATGTTTTGTCTAGGATTAAATAATACTCCTCCGTCCCAATTTAAGTTGCCGATTCACTGTTGACATGGTCAAACTTTATTCACTTTCTTTACCTATTTTCGTTACTTATTTGATAAAATAATATAGCCATGTCAATTGTTTCGTAGAACTTTTGATGTAGTTTGTAAATATATGATTTTTATTTTTTAAATGCACCCCAATTATCAAATAAAATGAATTAAAAATAACTTCAGTCAAACATCGTTATCCAAAACAGACAATTTAAATGGGAGGGAGTATTAATTATACGATTAACTTATGTTACATGATTTAATGTTACATAAAATTAAATAATGCTCCCTTCGTCCCAAATTAATAGTCTTCATTTCCATCTTGGGACATCCAAAAAAAATAGTTCTCTTCACTTTTGGAGAGGTTTTTGTGACTCATATTTTTTTCCCTCGTGTGCAACACTTTCAATCATAGAATTTCACTTTTTTAAACTTTGTACCGAGCCAAATGTGGACTATGGAATTGGGACGGAGGGAGTAATTACTATTATAATGTTACATATGATTAATTAATTAATAATGTTACATATGATTAAATAAAACTTACTATTATTTTTATTATTTTAGTATATGATAATAATAATAATAATAACTATTTTAATAATAGTACTCTATGTGTTCCAAAAAAATTGCTCTTTTTATCTTCACGAAGACTAAGAAATTGTAGAAGTGACATTAAAAATTTGTTGGATAGTAAAAACTAAGTGGTTAAATTTTGTTTAGAATAGAGCGAAGTGTTTTGGACCACATAATTATATATTTTATAACATAACATCCATATTTTCCAACAATGGTTATTGTCAACAATTTTCATCCTTCAATGTATTATTCAATTGATTTTTTGTATTTCATAAAGCGAAGAAATATAGAATAAAAGTTATTTGTTGTCTTATACATTGATAAATTAATTAATAATTATATGAATGATCATCATAATAATATTAAAAGATAATAAAATTGTTGTAATATTTTTACCTTTAATTTGAATTAGATCAATTTAGATTAGACCAGACCTTAAAAAGCTCAGATCAGAACCAATTAGATCAGATGAATGGAACACCACTAGTTATTCAGAAATCACTATTCCTAAATAAATACTTCTACGTTTGGATTTAGTTGTTCACTTTCAAAGTTCAATCATAGCCTGTTTGGGAACCGAGATTTGGATTCCAATATCAATTTCGGTCTAAATTACTTCCTCCGTCCCACTATATTTGTCCACTTTCATTTTTGCACACCATCCAATGCACTTCTTTAATCCATTTTATCTTGTAATTTGTATATTAAAAAATTATAGAAATTATATATTAATAATCTATATGTTAAGACAAATCAAACAAGATCACACATGACTATATTTAGGCTTATTCATTGAGAGAATTTGATGAGTCAAAGTGCTTAGATGAACAGTTCCAAAAGTCAAAAGTGGACGAATATAGCGGGACGGAGAGAGTACATGTTTGGGTGTCCAAAAGAAATGGATTTGGATTCAGGCCAATTTCCTCTAATTATCAACAATGCCCAATTACAAATCCATACTTCCTTTTTAATTTGCAATCCAAAAGTTCAAATTTAGAATTGAAATCTAAGAACTCAAATAAATTCCTACTTTCCTTCCAAACACTACAAAAAGAAATTGTGATGAATTGTCTAAAATATTTTATTAACAAGTGACAAACTAATTTGAAGGAATCGTTTGACATTTTAAACTCATTTATTGCTGGAGGAAGTGCAATAAATATATATACCCAATATATAATCTTACATGGAGGTCCATGGTGTTAGCGCAGAAGGGGTATTTTGGTAGGATATAAGGGTGAAAATGGTTCTAGTCACGTAACTTTTTACGCTTTCCTAGATATTTATTATCTACCTTTATTATAGTAACCGGGTTTCAGACTAGAATTTTTGGGGTATAAAGGTGCACAGTGTATTTATATACTGCAGATCATATTAAAAAGTTGAAGAAGTTCACCGGGTCCAACGTGAATAAGGCTTTGATAGCCAAATATGGTGACCATAAGGAATCGTTCTTTTGGAACTTCTTATCATACAAAGAGGCATGAGCAGTTTTATACCACATGCACATTCAACTTCAAAAATAATTGAATCTTGCATTTTTGGAATTTTATTCCACATGCACATTCAACTTCAAAAATAATTGGAATCATGCCTTTTTGGAATTTTATACCACATGCACATCCATCTTCAAAAATAATTTGAATCATGCCTTTTTGGAAAGCGATACGTGGCTCAGGCATATCTACAACATTCCTTATTCAAATAAATATTTTCAAAGAATACATATATACATCCCTTAATATTATATTAATATAACTCCGCAACACAATTAAAATAATAATAGTGAGGAACATGTTGAACACTTGATCCATATTATCTAATAAATTTTCAACATGTGGGACCCCCGGACCCGTGGGACTCAAGGTGGTTCCGACCTTGCCACCCCTCTGGGATGTTCAAGAATGGCATGTACAACAGTTGCATTTTATACTGCCACGACTAGCATCTTTACATGTTTGGTATGTAAAATCTGACATGCAAATTATGGAACATGACAGGAAAAAGAAAACAGCAGTTCATCGAGTTATTCCTTTGCTAGAACTTCCAACAAGGACGACATTTGACGTAAAACTTCCCTTGTCTTTCCTGGCATTATTGCATAGATATATATAGTATTGAGATTCGTGTGCTGTGGGATGCTTTTCTTTTGATGAAAAATTGCCATCATAATTTGGTGTGTTTTCAATACTTGGAGGGTGATTTCATGTCTTAATTAAGAGCATATTCCTTTTTTTATTTATGTATTCACAGTTACGCGTGGTTCTGAAGCCCCAAACTGCCAAGATGATGAGGAGCAGTGAGGTCGGCCTTGAGCCCTTGGAGAACTTGCCGATGAACCTTCCCGCTCTCCACATGAAATGTTCAAGCATTCTAAAATCGTGCCTGTACTCTATGCGACTGGGTGGGCTTTGATTTAAGATTTGGCTCATTTGTTGAGATGGGGAACAAAAGTTTGAACCTTAAACCAAGGAATAATAGGAGGTTTACAGTAGGGGCAGCTTTCATTGCTGCATGCTACAACATTTCTAGGGAAAGCTAGAAATGGTGTGGTTCATAATGGAAATTTGGCCTCTGTAAACCAGACAGACTTGCAGTAAAACAAACTATCAAGTTTCTACTTATCTTTTTTGGCTGATGCTTGGGTTTTAATTTGCTGTTTTCCTGCTTGTTTTTGTTTCGAGTGTGGGCATATGAATGTTGTAAGATTTCTTGCATAAAAAGGTGTGTGTGTGCGTGTGTTTGTTTGACTCTATATGTTTTTGGATTCGTTTAACTCTTCCATTTTATAAAACCCCGCTGCTCGGTTAACATTGAACTGACTGTTAGATTATGGTGAATCTAAACCAAACATATTTTACTTTTCATCAAGCATCTTTTACTTTTCAATACATTTTAAAAATTTTACTCGCTGTCCCAAATTAAAATTGTCTGTTAACTGTTTACATGGTTAAATTTTATTCACTTTCTTTTTCTATTTTCATTAGTCAGTTGATAAAATAATATAGTCGTGTCGCCACTAGTTTTGTAATTTTTTTGATGTAGTTTTTAAATATGTAATTTTTATTTTTTTAATTCTATACTCCCTGTCTCAATTTAAATTGCATGTTTACTATTTACATGATCAAAGTTCATTCATTTTCTTTCTCTTTTTTTTTAGTCATTTGATAAAATAATATAGTAATGCCACTATTAGTTTTGTACTCCCCTTGGTTCTAAAAACATTTTCTATTTTGACTTTTTCTAGTCAAACCGTGACATTTTTTGACCATAAATTAAACATAATCTAAATAAATAAATGATATAAAAATTTGATATATCAAAGTTTTATCTTAAAATGAATTCAATTATATTCAATTTATATTATAATTAAATATACTTTTCTTACAGTTTGTAGTCAAATTGTCACAATTTGACTAAAAAAGTCAAAATATGAAAGGTTTTTAGTACCAGAATGAGTAGTTTTTTTGATGTAGTTTTTAAATATGTAATTTTTATTTTTGAATTCTACACCATTTTTTCATATGAAATAATTTAAAAATAATTTCAGTCAAACATCGTAAACCGAAACATGCGATTTAAATTAGAACGGATCGAGTGCTACTTTTCATATACATTTAAAAGTAAGTTTAATCAAACATTGTAAATTGAAACAAATCATTTAAATTGGGATATAGTATTTGTAAACATCATTTTCGAGCGGATTGAATATTTGTTTACATACTTGGATTCAAAGTAACTTAAATAGTTTTGAATCTTTGGTTAATAAAAAAATTGCACTAGCAATTATCTACCCCAACAATTATTGTTTGCGTTGTATGTGCAACACGTGGTGTAAGCCAACCTTTGGAAGTCTGTTCAGATTTTACAAACTTTACATAAATTAAATATTTTTCTAGTTTAACTTGTTTGGACAAATTTTAACAAATTTTGAGTATAAACTATGAAATGATTATTTTTATTTGTAGTGTAAATTTAATAATCAAACTCATTTAAAGAAGTTTTGATATAAATGTGATTGCAAAGTTTCACGCTGACATTTTGTGTCAATGCAAGTCATTAATCTCATAATTATATTGACACAAAATATAAGTGTAAACTTTTGGGTATATTTTAGGATACAATCTTTATGTTACAAGGATATTTATTCAAAAAAATAAATCATTGCAAACATGCATGTTATTTAAGCCAACAAGTAAAATTGAAACAAATTACATATTCATACTATAAATTAAGTCTAAATTGTTACCACTCCTGGCACTCGTGTCAATTGGCGCCCAATTCAATTGGAGCAAGTACGATGTTTTGTTCGTAAAATTGATAATTTCTACCCCTAACTCTTTCCTAAACCCTCTACTCCAGCCCCTTCATCAGTTCATCCCCTACCTGCATTTTCTTAATCGATGTTAGGCAGAACTAATTCTGCCTAAACATCGATTAAGGGATGTAAGGGGTAGGGGTAGGAGGGTTCACGACAAGGGTGAGAGAAGTAGAAATTATAAAGTTTGCAAACAGAGTATCATGAGTGCTCCAATTGAGCTGATGTCATTTTAGACAGCCTCGATATCTTCATGAAGAAGATAATTTATCTAGGGCCAATGAAGTGGCAAAATTAGTAGTACAAAGTCCACCATCAATCACAAGATTAGTCCCACTAATATACTTGGACTCGTCACTCCCAAGAAACACCGCCGCCGCCGCTACGTCCTCCGCCTCCAACACCACCCCTTTCAAGTTCGCCATTTCGCACGCGAACCCCTCCACCGCTTCCTTATCCCCGCCGAATCTGTCGATCGTCAACGGCGTCGCCAGATAGGTAGGGGAAATGCAATTCACTCTCACCCCGTGCTTCCCCATCTCCACCCCGAGGTTCTTCGCCAGTCCCACCACCGCGTGCTTCGACGCCATGTAGGCGTACGGGAAGTACCCGCTCGACACGGTGGCGGCACTGGCGGTGAACACGATGCTCCCCTTCTTTGCCGGGGCCATCACCCTCGCGGCGTGCTTCGCGCACCAGAACGCGCCGAAGACGTTCACGTCGAACACGCCGCGGAGGTCGTCCCGATCGATGTCGTGGATAGACACTTCGTGCTTCCCACCAATGCCAGCATTGCTGAACATCACGTCCAGCTTGCCGTGCATTGAGACGGCGAGGTCCACTGCAGCCTGAACATCCGAATCGATGGTCACGTCACAGTGGACGTAGGAGCAGACGGCGGGGTCACCCCCGCTTATCTCGGTGGAGATTGAATTGCCTAGTGTGTCTTGGATGTCAGCGATGATGACTCTGGCACCATGTTTAACGAATAGTCTCGCGGTGGTTTCGCCAATGCCACTGGCGCCGCCGGTGATCAATGCCACTTTACCATCTAGCCGCCTATGAATTGAATAAGAGTTCATCTTTAAATTTTAGTTTCAGCTTTCAACATACCCTATAATTTAATTTAGAAATATTTGCACTAAATAGCACTAATCTTAATGAAAACCAGAAATTAAAACATTGTCGAAAACGGTTAAAAGTCAAACAAACTCTTAGAAGGCCAAACACTCTCTAGAAATTTTCATACTTTGAGTCTTTAACAACAAAAACAAAAGTCATCAACAGCTGCTCCATCAAACAAACACTTACACTGCCCTTAGGCCAAATTATATCTAAAAACTACAGAGACCTTAAACAAATTTTACTCCCTTCGTTTCTGAATATTTGTCCACTTTTGATTTTTTTTTTGGTCAAAAGTAGTAAACTTTGACGTTAAATTAATTTAAAATGATATTAGATATTAATACAAAAATAGTTTTATTAGATTCATTATATCAAATATTATTTCAAAATATTATTTTATCTAATTAATATACGATATATATTTTATTTAACTATAGGTTAAAAATTGAAAATAGTTGACCGAAAAAAGTCAAAACTGGACAAATATTCAGGGAGTGAGGTATATTATATTACCTGTTGGCGACTGGTGCAACCGAGCTTGACATAACCACACAAAGAAGTGTTTAGTTATAGATGCAAACTGCTACGACGAGCTGATAAGTGATTAATTAAGAGGCTATGGGGGTGGGTACTATACGTATTAATTTATTAATTAATTTATAGAAATGCTTTTAATTATTCGCCTCAATTAATATTTATATATGTTTAATCTGTAATTGATTTAAATGGAGTGCCATCCAGCACTCTATAAATATGCATACAAACCCAAAAGCTAAGTGCGTGGGCCGCCCACCGAAATTGACTGAAAGTTAAGTTATTCGGTGCTTCATTATTGTACCAAGGAAAATTATTGAGGTGCCCAATAATTCTAGTCAAACTATAAAAATCTCCCTTACTATTACGACATCTCGATAATTTATGTTTGTTTGTATATTTTCATCTTTGATAAAATAAAATATTCTTATCACAACTTATTTTGTAAAACTTTTGATGTTATTTTGAATAAGATAATTTGTATTTTTTTAAGACATACCTATTTATAAATAAAATAAATTTTAAAAAGATGAGGTTTTGTACGTTCTTCAAAAATGAAAAGTTTATTGTTGGATAAGAGTATAGTATTTGTGCACCAAAGAAAAACATAGACATGAATGTCTGTTTTGGCATGTATTTTTTGTCTCATAAAACATTTCTTGTTTTGACTTTTGAGAGGGAAAACTATAAAAGTTTGATCAAAGTGAAATGATAAAATTGAAACAAGTGGGACTCAAGAAATATCAAAATAGTTAGGGCGTAGAAGATAGTTGAGGTAGGTAGATTTATGAAAAGTAATTAAAGGTAATATTGTCCATTTAGTTCAAATTAAAATGCTTTATGTGATAACTAAGATGTGAAAGTTGAATTTTTTTACAGAACGGAGGTAGTGTGTGTGTGTGTGTATATATTCATGATAGATTAATAAATGTAATAAAACATAAAAAAGAAACATGAATAATTAACTTTTAATTAGGAAATAATATATATCCAATATATATTCGATCAAAATATATATCCGAAATGAAACATATCCGAAACCCAAAAATTTCCAAACTGAACTAGATCCGAAACCGAAATATATCCAGTCTAAATTGTATTTGAATTGAAATATATCTGAGCTGATTTATATCTGAATCGCATCTGAACTGACTCGAAACAGAACCAAAACCTAAAAATCTCTAGAACCGAATTAAATCCGAAGCGAATCGATTATAACATATATCCGAAACAAAAAAATCCAATCTGAAACAGATCTAGTTAACCTTGCCACCTCAAGATACTACAAGGGTTCGCTTGGGCCCTCAATATTTATATACTCTGTACTTCGTATCCCTTGAACCAAAACCTAAAAATCTCTAGAACCGAATTAAATCCAAAGCGAATTGGTGGTCCCAAAGTGGTGAGATACAAAGTCTAGAGGGGGGGTGAATAGACTTTGTTACAGATTTAAAATTTTTTTCGTTTCTTTTGAAAACGAGAAAATAAGTGTTAATCTAGAGTTCTTGTGAACTTTAGATTGTGTGCGGAATTTGGTGGGTAGTTGAGCAGTAATCAATATGGATGAGTTAGTTTTCACAGTTAATGTAATTGCAAGTAAGAGTAAGGATAAAGGAGAGAGACACGCAAACTTTAACGAGGTTCGAAGGTGGGGTAATCCTTCTACGTCCTCAAAAATCCACTATGTAGTTGGTTGTTGAATAATGAACCAACAATTACACTTAGGTGAATTTCTGCACGGTATATCTTCGCAAGGCCAATGTTGCTACTGCACTTGTGCTGGCTTTGTTGTTCCTTCGAAGGTCACGCTTCTTCAACAACTGCAACGTCCGAACAATAGGACTTGCAAGATCAACTTGTAAGAGAGTTGACCTACCCCCTTTTAATCAATAAGTTTGATCAAAAGTAATATCCTTCAACGTGGTGTGGTACTTGAGGTAAGAAAACATTCAAGTGTTTACACTATAGCTCTTTGGAAGGAGGAGAAGTTTGCTTCTGGATAAGGAGTTTAGAAATCTCTCTTTATCAAGCTTTTTTTTTGGGCTAACTGTGAATGAGATAGATTTGTTGTTAGAGATTGCTTCGTTCAAATTTTTTTTTCACTCATTCATGTCTTCTCCAGTCTTCCAAGGATGCTATTTATAGCTGGATTGGATAATCTATCCGTTGAATCATAATAGACTATCCGTTGCGTTTGCTGCAGGCTTCAATTTTGAATGAAGATTGTGATTTGAAGATTCTTTGTTGAAGTGGGTGTTTGGACGTACCCAATTGTTTGAGAAGTGATTCCATTTTTCACAGAATCCGTCTTCTAGCTGTTGTTCAAGAATTCTGAACTGTAGCACTTTACTCTGTTTGTCTTCTTGTGCTTGTTTAGGAATTCTGGACAAGCTCTTTAATTTAGAGGACCAGACTTTGTCTTCGAGTCATTTGTTCTTGAATCAGCATAAATATCTTCAATCTAGCCGTTGAAAATCAAGAGATTGATTTTTCCTAACCAACGGGTAGAATTTCTTCATTCAGGACTTAGATAATTTTTCTAAGTATTTTCTCACTTGTCCGCTTTCTGAGAATTCCGGTCTTCAATGAGTCTTCCGATTCTTAGCTGACAAATCCGGAGAAGTCATTCTTAGACTTCCGGGTGAGAAAGAGATCCGCGCTAGTCTTCCGATTTGGATGACTTAGCCTTCAGCGGGTTGTAGCGAGACATCCGGTATTTATGTAGTCTTCCGGATATGAGGATTTTCATCTGATTGAGAAATCCTTACTTGTCTCTGACATTTCCGATCAAGATATCCAATTTTCATATCACTGAATTTTATTAAGTCTTCAGGCATCAAAACGCTTAAAGAAATATCACAGCTTTATTGGAAATCTCAAGAGCTCGGTTTTGACAATATTTCTAAAAAGAAAAATTACATTGAATAATGGGGGAGACCTAAAGTCCCTAATACATTCTAAATACATCATCATCAAAATCTATAATATTTTTCCCAACACGAATCGATTATAACATATATCCGAAACAAAAAAATCCAATATGAAACAGATCTAGTTAACCTTGCCACCTCAAGATACTACAAGGGTTCGCTCGGGCCCTCAATATTTTTTTCTAATTATACTATCTCCACCCTAAATAATATTCCTTTTTTTACTTTTTAATCATATTTTACAAATTTGGACTATAAATTATAAAACAATACTCTCTCCATCCCTGAAAACGTTTCCTCTTTCTTTTTTCATCTGTTTCAAAAAACTCTTCTTTCCTTCAAAATGTCTTTTTTGCCCCTCCACCCAAACCCTACTCCATCATTCCCAACTACACGCCTCTGACACTCCACCTTTTCATTTCACCGATTTCCATTGCCTTCTTCATCTCACTCTAGATCTAAGTTCTTCTTCTTCTTCTTCTCTAGATCTAAAGACATTTTTCATCTCTCTGGATCTAAACATATTCTTCTAAATCTAATCTTCTCTTTCAAAGAATATATCTAAAGGTCTCCTACTTCAAATCAATTCTTCTCTTCCCTGATCCGATATTTTCTCGCGATCCTTCGATGCCCAGTTTTCAATTACTGCATAATAGTGATGATGATGCATGTCCTTGATATGGAATCCCTCCTCCATTGAAGGATGAGATTAAGAGGGCTGAGTTAAATTGTTAGGGATTTGATGGAGGAGATTCTGATTCCTCTAAAACGGACCTAGCATGGGCCTTTCGCAAAAAATATCTAGGTGGTGGATACTATCCTGACCCTGAACAGAGTTATGAAGAAGAAGGGGACAAAGAGGAAGACGGGAAATTGGTGACATCTGCAGAGATATTGGAGATGGGTGAGGAGGATTTCCTCTTTGCAGAACCTACAGACCCTGCAAAAGTAGATCGATACAAACAGAGTAAAAGCTCTATACTCTCTTTTACTTACATTTACTTGTGAGTCTATTTTGGCAATATGTGAGTTGCTAGTGGTGTAATGTCACCCACGTTTTGTGTTGGAGACTTGCAACCATCAATTTTGTCAAGGATTGGTCCACCTGTGTTCATGTGCTTATTTCTGATTGCAGATTGGTCTTCTTGTGTTCATGTGGTCTAATTGTTTAAGAAGAGATTCTGTACTTTTTTGTTATTTAAACCATATGCTACACCACCTTGTCATAAGAAAACAGATGCTGCGCTTATTTGAAGATAGAATAGATTCGACACTTGTTCTTGAAGTGAAAATAGAACAGACTTAATACTTCCATAACTAATAATACACTAGATCCTACATAACGTTGTCCCAAACATTACACTAAATCTACAAAAGCATCAGTTGATAGTACATATACATCATGTTCTATGACCAATCTGTATGCCAGACTCTCATACTACAATGATTACATGCCATACAAAAAATTATGCAAAAAATGATTACATAGGAGTACACTAAATTATTTTACTTTTACCCATGCTAATACATGCCATGATTATTTTCATTTCATCTCTACCTTGACCTCCAATGTACCTGTTGGCCTGTTTTTGCTAGACTTTTTGGCCACGGCTTCATATGTGAATGGGAATATACCTATTTTCCCATCTCAAAGCACTGCCCCATCATTCCCAAACCTAGGCCTACTAACTACTGCTAGGAATACGATTTTTGGTATGTGACTCTTTGATTGAGCAATTCTGTATGGGTCTGGTTCATCTGATACGGCAAAAATATTATCTTATCCTTTGTGATATTGAACCATTTTTCATCAATATGAATGTAGTCAAAGAAATGATAAAATGTGGAGTTCATGGAAATTGATGGGGCAGTAATATGATCCAAGCAATATTTCAAACTTTTAAGCTTACCTTTTTCACAGAGAAAAGGCTTGATGGCATTTGAATATCTTCTTATGTCCTTGCCCTTTAGCCACCTTTGGACATTGATTTTGAGACATCCATTGCATAGGCTAAGGCACACATGCTCTTCCTTGTGTGAAAGTGTATTCCTAACATTTTTTTAATTGTCAAATATTTAATGGAAACCGCTTTTTCGCGTCCCAGGTCGGCACCGCACCGAATAACAAAATCCGGTAAGTAAATAAATAAATAATGCGGAGAGAAAGCATTTATACATAGAAATCCAAATCGGGAGAAAACT